CTATATAAAAGTACATACAAAGGTATCTTTGAGGGTTTCCCTAGAAGCATTTCCCGAGACAAGGATTTGAGAGAAAAAAGCTTATTTGGAAGGCGTTTCCAAGAAATACTAATAGGATATCATGAGAGATCACAATAAAGTATCCATTATCACGTAGTTCCCACCGTGGACAACTAGAACTTGAGCCCACTGGGGAACTCTGAGAGCCAATGTGAAATATTTACCTTAGAGACAGTCCAGGGACAAAGGAGCTAAAGTACTTATACACTTACTCTTTCTGGTCTTTGGCTGGGGGCTACGCCAGGGATCACTAGTTCTACGGCACTTCCTGCCTGCCAGCAGGCTCCAACCAACCAAAGAAAGACCTCAGGCACAGAGATATTGATACTTGCAATTGGAAGATGGGCAACATGAATTAAAATGGTAAAACAAGAATGGGATATGGACAAGCCATCCATCCATAGCATCTGCTACTGAAGGGTCCATGTACATTTTTGTTAATAAAATTGAAAAGAATTTGAAATCATGATTTGAATATTGCTTACATTCTCTGACAAAGAGGTGAAATGAAGAATCCCCCTATACACTCCCTCCCCAAATTATTTCACATACACAAGAGAAAGGTATTTGTATCACAGAGTATTAATAGCCCTGGGTGACATATTTTGAAATAGCTCGAAGAATTAATTGCAAAATGATGGTGGATTACAATGTTACAAATCATCTTTCATAGACATTGGTATGGTTTACATCATTCACTTTTTAAAATATCATCACATGATAGAGAAAATCCAAAATGCATTAAGCCAAAAACAAGTCCACATATACTAACCTCTACCCGAGATGCAACTAGGGCTGGCTTTGGTAGAACTGATGTAATGGTGGTACCTTTTCCTTTCTTTATTAGTGAGAAAAAGGAATCAAACAGGTACTAGAAAAAAATATAACCAGATAATTAGAAGCTTCAAAACTCATAAGGTTGCAGATCAAATACAGGATGCCCAGTTAAATCTGAACTTTAGATAAGCCACAAATAATATTTTAGTGTAAGTTTTCCTATGTAACTTTTTTGCTTTTTTACCAATAACTAAATATTTAGATCAAATAAGCATTTCTAACTGTTCACTTGAAGTCCTATAAAAAAGAAGTTTTCAACAGTCATTAAAAATTTCAGGTGTCATCTAAAAATGTCAAGTCTTCGGCCTCTTAACTGTGTATCATTTTCCTCTTGTAAATCAAATTCTAGTTAAACAAAATATTGAAGCTATATCACTTCACTTACGCATCCTAAAATTAGAAATACTGTATTTTTCTACCAGCTCTAAAGAAATCTCTAAA